TATTCCTGCTTGCTGCTTCTTTGCTTTCTGTCAGCCAGCACACTTTTTAAAAAAAATGTGCATGTAAGAATTTCTGGCTTGGGAACAAATGCACGCACTCCTCATTCCAGCCTTTCATTCGGTGCTATAAGGTTCCCCAGTTTCTGTTCTTGCTGTACTACTCAGTCCATCCTCTTTACAGACACATATTATCTATGCCAGAATAATTTGTTAATCCCATTGAGTCACTTTCCATTCTTTAACTTGAAATGGGATTCTTTTCTACCAGTTTCCTACCTCTCTATCAAAGTTCATTTTGTCCCATAGAGGAGATGCAGTTTATCTTTGAATCAAGTGGATTTTTTTTTATGTCACTGTGGATTCTTTTTAAGCAAGCCCTAGATCAAGGATCTTCAAACTTGGCAAGTTTAAGACTTGTGGACTTCAACTCCCAGAATTCCTGAGCTAACATGACTGGAGGAGGAATTTTGGGAGTTGAAGTCCACAAGTCATAAAACTGCCAAGTTTGAAGACCCCGGCCCTAAATGATAGAGATGCCTGCCTTATAACATTTTTAGCTTCTCTTCAGGAGGGAAGGAAGGGCTTTCTGCCGCTAATGACAACAGGGAATATAAAAAGGTTATTTCCTTTTGTCTTTTGTAATTCTCCTCCTCCCTTTCTGCTGTCCCAGAATGCAAAGGGTACATAGGGGTTTTTTTTAAAAGAGACAACAGCTAAACTTCATTCTAAGGTTCCAAAGCACCCACAAAGGTGAATCAGTAGAGAATTTCAAACATTTTGTCGATTTGGTGGGAGAGGAATTTATTAATGGAAGGAATACATTCAGGTGAGTTTGGAGTCTAAACCCTGCTCTTAGGCTCCATCCCTTGAATCTGGTAGGAAAGGGCAAACTTACAGATGCTGACTAATGTATATTCAAACATGTACATTGCTGTATCTCTATTTATTTTTGAAATCATCATATAAGAACATGGTGGAGTGGAAGAGAAGGTAGGATTGTTCTGTGTTTATTGTTTAATATAAAAGAGGTGTTATTGTTCAATAGAATAAATGTAAAAAAGTTAATTATTTTGGAGCATTTGAGACTCTGGGATGGCTTTCATTTTCATTTTTTTGGTCAGACCAGCTTTTGTTTTGGTTGATGTGGTTTTTTTTATATGACCTAGGTTCTTCTTGTCTACTGACAGATACTCCCTTCTCTGCATAATTGTGCTAGATACAGCTCTCTGTAGAATTCAGCCAGAAGATTATTTTAGATGACCCTTCTCCATATAAAACAGACATAAATGTCTACCTCGGAAGCAGTCCTGATTTGGTAGCAAGCAGGCATCTTTGTTGTTCAGTTGTGCAATTTCAGAATGTCGCTTAAATATGTTAGAGAGGAGATCTCCAAAGGTTAAGGAAATACGTGATGAGAAAAGCATCTTCTCTGAACGAAATTTTCCAAGATCAATGGGAAATTGCCAATTAGCTTTGAATATAGGACATGGATTATGTCTGATTGGTCCAACATTCTAGTTTTGCCTTTTAAATACCTATTTCCAAAATGTGAAACACAATGAGATGCTTCCACTTAGCAACATAATATGCCTTGCATTGTTCAGAGAATACAGAAATACTTATACTATACTATACTTACACAATAGTGCAGCAATGTCCAACCTGAAGATCTATGGACTTCAAGTCCCAGAATTCCTCAATCCTAAAAAAGTAATCTTAAAACTCTGGCACTGTTGACATTAGTGAGGAGAATCAACACTTTGCATCATCATCTTGTTCCCCAAAATTAAATGTGCCCCAAAAGCTTGCCCATGCCTACTTTGTTTAAAATGTTTTAAATTGGTGTCTTTCAACCTTAGCAACTTTAAGATATGTGGACTGGGGGATCCTGGGAGTTGAAGTCCACAATCTTAAGATTGTTGAAATTGAAAAACTCTAAATCACTGAAATGGAGAGTCAGAGGAAATATTGCAAGTCAACTTTCAATTCCAAAGAATGTGAAAACTCTCCATGAGATTTGAAACATTTTAAAGTTCCCAGTGGCTAATAAGCTTTTAATTAATGTTCGGTGATTTACAGCAAAGTTCAAATACAGATACAGATAGTTCAAATACAGCTAAAGTTCAAATACAGATAAAGAGTTGGCTAGCGTGTGTGAATCACCTCCGCAAACATATTTGATCTAATCAAAATGGGATATAGGTTGATCTCTGGAGGTGCAAAATTTGGAGTAAGCTTTCCAACTTGTGAGAAAGGGACTTGTGGTCAAACAAGCCTCTTGAAAGAAGAAGTGTAATTTTTCAAGGCATAAATATTGCTCTTGTAACACTCTCTGTTTATTACACCACTACATAAACCCCAAGCTGCTTTTGAAGTCTTTGTGCCCTGTAGTTGGTGAAAGAGGAGGAGGAGCTGAAACAATTGCAGTAATCGGAATGATCATTTTAGCATATCTTTCATACTTTCTGGAAGGGATTGTGCAATGCTTTCTGCAGTGAAAACACAGGGTCTGCCTCCCACCATCAAAAAACAGCAAAATCCCTTCTCTAGGCAGTGTTTTCAAAAGGGAAATCCACTTTTGTTTTGCCACTTTAAAGAAATGACAGGATTTCATTGTTCAGAGCAGAGTGGTTATTTCTGCAGCTACTTTAAATAACTTCCCAGTCATTTTCTGCAAGTGTATAATTGAAGTGCTAATTTTAGTAATGTTGTGTACAACAGCCCATCCCTCCATGCAAATTTTAAACTTGTTTTCTATCTTTACCAGTTAACCATTTAAGTATTGGGGATGTTAATTGAGGAGATCTGACCTAGGAATGACTAAACCAAGAAAGATTTTTGCGGTTATGGTGGAACATTCAGTGGAAATGTCAACCCAAATGCAGCAGCTGGGAGGTGGGGGGGGGGGAGATGCAAATTTTGCATTGGTGCAATTATGGAACTAGAATTGCCAATCCGGCAATGTAGTACAAACATACTTGGAATATTGTGTAGAAACATCCTCTTGAGGAGATTGCAAAAATAGCAAAAAGTGGCAATCAAAATGTTCAGGGATATTGCAGTTTCCTTATGAGAAAATATGATGTAATTTGGAGCATTTTGGTTTTGTTTTTTTAAGGGGGGGGTGAAGAAGGAATTTATAAAATTATGTGCAGTGTGGATAAAATGGGTAAAGAGTCACTTTTTCCCCCCTGAGGTTTGAAACCCTGGGTCACTCAGTAAAATTGAAGGTTGGGAAATTACAATCTACTTGGCCACGGATTCAAATAGTGTAAAAGAGAAATTCAATAGATATTCAACCAGTCAGGATGCTTATCCCTGGGCTAAAGAAAGACCATATTGCTGAATGTCAATGTTTGGGTAATAAATAGTCAGAAGTTGTTCTTATGACCCTGTTGTGCTGATTGACCAGGAAGAGGTGACATGATTAAATCTGTTGATAGGATTGAATTCTATTCCATATAATCCTTTCGTTTAGCTCTAGAACCACTGAGTGGTATATCAGGAGAATCTTCAAACATAGTAGTGAGGACTTACATATACACTGGACCAGGCCTTTCCCAACCTGATGTCCTTTCATTGTCCTGTAACGCTTAACATTCCCAACCCAGCATTACAACCTGGCTTTGATAGGACAACATATCCAACTTCCCAGGGCAGCAAAGAACTAATAAGTTGGTTGAACCTCATTCTTTTGGATCCTGAAGTTATTTTACTTTCGACTGCCAGATCTAGATAGCAAAAAAATGAAATAACACCAGATGGTAGCAGAGAGTTGCAGAACAACTCTTTGCTGCCATCTTGTAGTCATCTGGATTTTTGCAGCCCAGATCTAGAAGTCTGATTTTACCTCTTTATGTTGAGGTAGGTAATGATCTGTGGAATATTATGCATGTTGGGAGATTCTATCTCAACAAGCATAATGATGATGTAGAAGCTCAGAAAAGGCAGCTAGAAATATGACCGGAGCTCGGCTGAATGGTTTTGTTTAAGGGAAAAATATGGAAAAAGGGAGGACAAATTGAAGGCTTATAGAATTATGAGAAAAGTTTATAAAGATTCTACTTTCTTCTAATACTAGAACTTGAAGCATTGTATAGTGGGTATAGTACCTTATTTATTCAGTTTCATTTGTGTGGCCATCCGCTTGCTGTGCAACTTTGGGAAACTTAACATCCAGTTAAAAAACAGATTAAAACCAATGAGCTCTAGGAATTGATCCTCATTTTAAAAGTGTATCTTTACAACCTACTTATGAAGACAACTTCTTCACAAATGTATCGTGACACCCAGCATTTGAGAACAAATGCAGGGGAAAGCTCATGCATTAAAAATCCATAATTACTGAAAAGCAGTAATTATTACTGAAAAGCAGTGTTTACGTTCCAAAGTTTAAAAAAAAAAAAAGCCAAGCAAAACCGCCCATGGTTTACTGCTGGCACAGTTGTATCTACATCTGGAAGAGATTTGAGGGTGCTACCAAAATAGCCATCAAGTAAACTAAAAATGAGACTAAATTATAGCCTTGATCGCTTTTGAACTCAAGAGTTTTGCTACCAAGCTCTGTCCTATGGTGCAGCTGAGACATCGGTAGAACCACAAAGAAGCTTTAAGGCAAGTCTGGTTCATCCTGTCACTTGACTCTCAGCAAATGACTTTTAAATAAGGGCGAAAGACACATCAATGCAAATGCTTTATTTTAGAAAAGTCTTTTTTTAAAACAGTTTTCAGAAAACATTTATTTAAAACAAAAGAATAGGCAGAGGAAAAAAAACCTATTTTATCTCCTGTTTATGGTCCAACTTCAGTATAAGAACTATTTACAATATTTATACAATTCCGGTCCAAAGACAAAGTTTATTTACAGGACCTGTAACCCAGTAGTTCTAGTATAGTTTAAGGCACCTTGAGTGCACACTTTGAGTGTACAGCATAGATTTGGCATGTTCTCAGTGAGAAACTCCTGTCTCAGAAAATAAGGTTATTTTTTGACTGCAGTAAACTTTACAGTCCTCCAATACAGCTTATGTTTGGGGCATAGTCAGCTATGTACATACAGCCAGCCCTTTGTCTCTTCTCTGTCATCACCAACCATTTAGTTATTTCCGACCCTTGGCCAGAAGTGATCTATGGATCACTTGGATCACACTGCATCCTTCAGATTTGCCATGGCTATCTCAGTATCATCTTTTATAGTAGCCAGCCAGCAGGTGCTGGCGAGGCACCCTTCTCTCTCTCTCTCTCTCTCTCTTTTTTTTTTTTTCACTCAGCACAGTTGGATTTTTCAAGTGAGTCAGCTCTGATGACGCTGATATCCAAGTATGACAGCCTCAATTTTGGGTTCAAGTAGTATTTTTTGTGAGGGTCAGTCAGGGATTTTTTTGTTTGTTATTTTTGTGTGCATGGGATGCATAATAGCCACCTCCAGCACCACTGTTTAAAAACGCTCACACTTTTATCTCCGTTGCATTTCTTCCAAGTGCTACATCTTTGGATCTCAGGGCTGCAGTCACGCATTTTGGTCTCTTCTCCATCCTATAAATAAGTCCTGCTCTTCCATGGCGAAAGAACAGTCAAGTCAGGTTCTTGGCCTCTTCAGGAAGCACTGGAACAACTGGCTTCCTCGGGTCATTCCCAAGTCTTTTCTCTGCATAGACAGACGTAGTAGTACCAGCTACAAGATTTCCCCCCCCCCCATCTCCAGAGTACTTCAGGTCACACCACAGGTGTGAGAAAGCTACATGTGTCTCTTCATGTGCAATGCCAGGTGGTCAGAACGGGAGAAGGTCCGGTCACACAGGTGGCACTCAAAGGGACGATGCCCGGTATGTTTCCGATAATGGCGGGTCAGTTCATCTGAGCGAGCAAACTTCCATCCGCACCCTTCCCAGTTACAGTGGTAGGGTTTCTCACCTATTTGGGAAGAAGAGGAGAAAAAAAATTATTGATTTATGCCAGGCCAAGAGTGACCACCAGACTCGGCGCTCCTTCTGAAAGGATCTCTCTTTTTAATTTATTAAACTTACATGCCTTATAAATGTATCTGCCTTGCCCTTTATCCTAAATAGGAAAAGGCTGTCAAAACATCCCTTCTGTAAAAGTTAAAAGTCCCTGTGGCTTTCTGACAGCTATATACCTCACACCTGTCCCTTGTGATGTGCTCTCTCCTGCCCTGTCCTCCCTTAGGGCAGGTAAAACACCCATTTTGACCTCAGCTGCATCAGTATAACTATGCCCCCCACTGTGTCCACCTCCCCAGCCCTCCAGAAATGCCTGCAAACCTCAGGAGGAGAGGAGGGGAAGTGCGTTTACCAGGGGCTCCTCTGAAACTTTCTACTTGAAAAGTGAGCTTCCGCTAAACCTACCAGCTTCATGGAAGAATGTGTGGCCAAGCTACTTATTACTCCCTTCAGTCCAAATCCGCCTTCCCTTCCCTTTCCTCTTAGGAGGCAATGAAAGGATGCATACCTGTGTGAGTTCGAAGATGTGCCTTCAGGTGGGAGCTCTTGGTGTAGGTTTTTCCACAGCCAGTGTAAGTGCAAGTGTGCGTGGCGGTCCGTTTGCGGGAGGAAGAACGGCGTCCCCTCTTCGTTTTGGTTTCCAGCATTTCCAGGGGTGAGGCAGGTGGGGTGAGAAGGGTCCTGGAGGCCGAGGCCTGGCAGGGAAGGCTGTCCTCAAAGAGTCCATAAGGGGAGGGTCTCTGGGGGTACTGAGGCTGTGGAAAGCCTGGGTGGTAGCCCTGCTGGGGGAGAGGCATCAACTGTCCGTGGCGCTTGGAGGCCATCAGCAGGTCATCAGGGCTCAGTGGCGGGGTCTCAGCACAAGGCAGCTGAGGAGAGCCAGACAGCATGCAGGGGCCTGGGGTGTTCTCCCGCTTGATGTTGGTGCAGACTTGGGGCCCCAAGCCTGGCAGAGGCTCGTAAGTCTCCACTTCGGGCTCCGGTTTAACATTGTCCACGAAGGGCGATCCGGCAAAGCCCACGAAGAAACGCCCGTGGGCGTAACTCCCTGCGTCCAGCTCGGAGGGCTCCGATTCGGAAGGGAAAGCGGGGCTATAGGGAGTCGGCGTGCGAGTTTCTAACGGACTGTAGTATCCAGCCGCGGAATTGATGCCGAAATAATCGTCCGGTCTCGCGTAATCTCCCCGAGGCATGTCCGAGAGGAGGCTGTTGTCGCTGCTGCCCATGGAGAGGACCAGATCCAGCACGGTGCTCAGCTCTTCGTCCCTGATCGGGGCGACCCCCTCCGTCCTCATCCTCAGGTCCGGCAAGGGGCAGTGGCTGAGCGGCATCGCAGCTTCCAAGCCGCAGGACCATTGCTGGAGAGGAGAGCAGAAGCGGGCGCGTTAGTAGGCGCTGACCCAGACGACCGGCCGGAGCCTGCTCGCCCGCCCTCCGTGCACTTCGCGGGAGGAGACCCCTCTGCGGGCGGAAGCAGCTTCGTCCCAAACCCGCCTCCATTGACTTGAGACATTGGCCTGGCCCGGGGAGGGGTCGGGATGATCCCGCACCCCACCCCACCCCGCAAAAAACCCTGCATCTGTTTCCAGGTAGCCTCACAAAGGAGTGACGGAGAACAGAGGGCGCCTTCCCACGAATCCCCCGGGCAAAGAGCCGGCGCTCCTGCGAGAGCAACCGGCGAAGCGTTGAACCCAGTTCAGTGGGGCCACTTCTCAGGGGTGATCAGGGTCGTAGCCACCCCACCCCACCCCACGAAGCTTCCACGCTGGCCCTTTTTTCCCGTGTCCGGGGCAAGCGTGTGTGCCTCTGAGCATATGCAGAGAGAGAGGCCGTCCCCTCCCCACCGTCTCCCGGACACTCACTTGGGAAGCCGGGCGGCTGTCCTTGCGGAAAGAGGCGAACGAAGGCAAGCTGGAGGCCGGCAACGCCATGTCTGCCTCGGGGTTGCCCCGATCTCCTATCTGCAGCGCTGTGGAAGGCCTGGCCGGCGGCGGAGAGCTTTTAAGACGCGCCGAGGAAGAGCGCAGGCCAATGGCGCTAACGGAGGAAATGCGTCTCCGGATCGCGGGGGGGCCGCTCGGGGGATGTACAGTTACCGCTCCTGCCTGGCCGAGCGGGCCTAAATTTAGCTCCCCTATAAAAGGAGAGCCGCCAGAGCGAGTCCGGAGCGGAGGAAGGCGCTCTGGTTGCCGCGGCCGCTGATCTTCGGGGTGCGGCGAGCTAATGGCCGGCTTAGCCGGACTGTTTCCCGGCAGCTGAGCCAAAGGTTCGAGCTGCGCGCGTCTGGCGTTTTTCACGCGACGGAAACGCTGGCTGTGCAGGTTGCCTGGGTCCCGAGATGGTCTTTGGCGCGAGTTTTCCATGTCGTAGACACCCAACGAAACGCAAAGTTTCTCCGAGCTTGTGAGAAGCGACAACGCTCCCACTCGCCTCAAAAGCATCGGATGCCTAAACCCGGCGCGCCGGGGATTTGTACCCATTATCCCTCTGGTCTCCCCGGCAACGGCCTTAAGCTTCATTTTGACGTTGGGGAGACAAAAGGTGACGACCTTGGACCCAAACAAACGTAACTGAGGGGGTCCCCATACATCACGAGGCCATTGTCTTTGGCGCGGCTCCTCCCGGGTTTAGAGGGAGTCCAAGGAGTCCTGAGTAGGTTAATCCGGAGCAAAAAGGTGGAAGCTTGTGGGCGCCGGGGTAGTTAATCTGGATTTGCAGACCGCTACCTTTTCACCAATAAAGGAGGGTATTTGTAGTTCGGTGTTGCAATGAATATGGCCGTCAAACGCTTCGGACAGCACGCAAACGGGGTGTGTGTGTGGGGGGGAATTGCAGGCACCCTTCCACCTCACTACCTCTTTGTTTGATCCCCCAAATGTCTTGGCCATTTGAAAAGGCTGGTGTGCCTCTGGGCATGTGAAGTGTGTTTTCCCGTGACTGCCAAGCGCATAAGCAGCTGGATGAAATAACGGGAGTTGTATCACTTTCCAGGCTGAGGAAAGTCGGAACTCAGTCGGTTGCTGGCGCCATCTCTTCCCGAACAGTCCAAAAGAATCCTGCGTGAAGGAGAACTGAGGAGAAATCTCTCCAGGTTCTCTTGGCTTAGAGACCGGAGCACGCCGAGCGTTGGGCAGCGTCCACACGTCGCCCTAAACCACCATTGTGATTTATTTGATGGACTTTTAAGGCATTGGGGTAAAACCAGGTCGGCTTCGATGGACCAGGGCGGGGATAACGGCGCAACGAAACGTCTGGACTCGGCCACTCGTGTGGTGTTTCAGACGGTCAACTATTGCTGGAAGGTCCCCGCGCGAAAAAAAAAAAAACCATCCCGGCTGCGAGGCAAGACAGAGAGCAACAGGGCCCCCCGTGGGATGAGAACATTAACAAAACAGATAGCATTTATCTAAACCAGGTGTCCCCAAACTTGGCAAGTTTAAGACTTGTGGATTTCAACTCCCAGAATTCTCCAGCCAGCATAGCTGGCTGGAGAATTCTGGGAGTTGAAGTCCACAAGTCTTAAACTTGCCAAGTTTGGAGAGCTCTGATTTAATCCTTCACTCGCTCTCCCGCCTTTTCTCCCAAGGGGGAAGAGCCCTCCGCGCTTCAGAGGGGCTCCAAACGGCTGTATCGGGCTGCTGAAACGAAGCTGAGGGAACTGGCGGGGGTGGGGGGGTGGGGAAGGGGGGCCACGAGGATTCAATGGAGAGAGGAATCCCGGCCAGTGCGTCTCTTAGGGGCTTTGGGAAGGGGGCTTATCCTTCGCTTTTTTTCCCCCTATAAGCCAAATATACCTCTCCCCTCTTGTCCGTTCGAGATATATTCTCAGCTATGGGCCAGAACAACGGAATGTTAATTATGAGGGCTGGATTTTCGACTGGATTTGCAAACGCATGCTCCCCCCCCCCCCCCAAAAAAAAGGGAAAGGTTTGTTTTGGTGTTTTTTTTTTCCCCTCAGGCTCCAAAACAGTCGAAAACGAAAATGAGCGGGCGGCATAGAAACAAAACAAGGGCGAAGCGATTGTGATTCGGCGGCGGTGTCACGGTCGTATCAGGAGGCGAACTTGGGGTGGGGGGGGGGAGGGGCAGTGAACGTCCCCTCCTCGCTTCCTCGAAGTTGCCGCGGCGGTCGGGCTCCTCGGAGGCTTCCGAAGCGAAGGATGCCTCGCCACGACCGCTACTCATTTTTGCCCCCGCACGATCCAGTCTGCAGATCCAGAAACGATTTACCGGCGCGCCAAAAGGGGCGGGGAAGTGGGGGGAGCCCGCCCAAACCTGATATGCGGGGTTGGGTTGGGTTGGGGGGAGTTGGAAGAGAGGAAAGAAGTTGATTGGAGCGGGAAACCCTACCTGTAAAAAAATAAAAAATAAAATCTGTGCAAATCTCGGTCCACACCCGAAATCCGTGCCTGGGAGCTGAAACAGAGCTATTCCGTTTTCTCCTCTTTTTCTTTTTCTTTTCCAGTTCAAGCTTGAGGGCTTTTGGAAACCGGGGAGACGGCGAGGCTTTAGTTCTGTCCCGGAGCAGGTGGTTAGCAGAGACGGTCAGGGGGAGGGGAGCGAGCTCGGGTCTTCTTCGACTTGAACCATAGCAGCACGGGGATCAGGGGCTACCTGAAAGGGCATCTAGTCGAACCCCTCTTGCCGAAGCGGGGAACAAAATACAGCCACCGATTTCCAAGGCTCTGTTGCCCCCCCCCCCGCCCCCCCTCCGTCTCTCACAGTCCGGGTGGCTTCGTTCAACCGCTCAGAGGGGCTTCTGCACGTCCCCATTTCGATCAGAGCCTTGGACACGTGTTTCACACACACTCACACACACACATTCCTCTCTATATGAGTGGGGTGAGCCAGTATTGGCACTAACAGAATTGCTCCCCTTGGTTGCTTTTAACCCCCCTGTGTGGATGGCTCTGTCCGCATTCTCTCTCGCCCGCATTTTCAAGATGCTCCTTCTACAACTTTCTTCCCTCCGTCCTCCAGGGAAGGGGTGGAGGGGGGCTCACTGCTCTCCCCCTTCCCTAAATGAACGGGGTCCCTCCCCCTCCCTCCGTCCCGGGGTGATGCTTCTGTGTGAGTGAGTGTGTGTGTGTGTGCAGCGCCCAGCTCAGATGCGGCTTTTTCTGAAGCTCCCGTGAGATTCCTCCACGTTGCCGTCCGTTTTGTTTTCCCGAACTCCACGTTGCAAACCCCGCGGCTCCTGACACCGCGAAAACATTGTCTCCATGGCAACTGTCAACTCCTCCGCCCGCCCGCGCGAGTGAACTTGCACCACGGTGATGTCAGGCTGGCGTGGAAGAGTTCACTGGCGAAGCACTGATTGCCTTCTGGTGGAGACGCCCGGTTGCCTAGTACACAAAGCGTGGTGAGTCATGCCTTTATAATTTCACACTTCTGTAATTTCTTGCGATTGCTGCTGGTGAAAATAAAATAAAAAAAACCCTCTCCTCTCTCAAGCAAACGCGGTTTGGGGGTGAGGAGGAAGATGAAGGTTCGTTCTCCGAGCCTGTGGTTTGGTTTCCGAATGTTTCGTTACCTGGCCAGGTAACATCTTCAGCGGGGTTTTAGGGGATCCTCTGATGCCCACGATGTTTGGCAACGAAACGTTGGGAAACCAACCCACAAGTTCGGAGAACGAACCTTCACCCTCATCTTACACCCGAGCTGCAGATATTCGCCACTATTGCAAAACAAGGTTTTAGCTCCTCTGCAAAAGCTGCAGCTACGAAATGTCAGAAGTTAACTTTTCCGGTGCAAAAAAAAAAAGTTCCTTCCCCATGAACGCAAAATAACAAAATTATTTTCGTGTTTGCTATTTTTATATCTATCTATCTATCTATCTATCTATCTATCTATCTATCTATCTATCTATCTATCTATCTATCTCTTGCTTATCTGTTGGATGCACAGAGCAGGTAGCAACATGGTATCCAGTGGCTCACTTCTCATTATGTCGTCATCAACAGGAACACCGTAACGTAGGTTGGGCTCCGATTGACTGTCCTGGGGCCATCTAGGGATGTTCCTGCAGAGATAACTTGAACCTGGATTCCTGCCTACAGAAAAGCCGCTACTAAAGGAATGCTACACTTTGCATATGATAGGCAACTTGCCATCCTTATCTTTGAAGACCATCAGCAAAATCTATATATCTATAAAAGCAAAATACCACTCACGCATCATCACAAAATCTCCAGAACTGTAAAGCCTACAAATTTGAAATTTGGCACGTATGTTCCTCTTGGCTTCTAGGTGCTCACTAAGAAAGGATTTTTCAAAATGACCTTCAGAGTATTAGTATTTCGTATATTGCTGTCTCCTCGCTCACACAGCAAATACTGTTTGAGTTTCCAAACAGCTCTCAACTCTCTCACACACTGACAGGATGCTAGCCAGATGAATACCGATGGATGCTAGTAGGCAGAGGCAGAATTTTTTTCCCCTTATTTTCTTCCCCCAAAACTAAGGCTGACCACATAGTTCTGTAGCGAAGCACGGGTATCAAGCTAAATCCTTTTATATTATTTTTTGCAATCCCTAGGATTCTCCCTAATTTCCATATTTCCCTTTTAAAACTGACTGCTGAAGGATACATCTGAAAGTAGTTTCCTTCCAGTCAGTCTTGACTCCTGGCAACTATCTGGATAAGTCCTGCAGTTTCATTGGCAACATTTTCACTTGCCCTTGCCTTCTTCTTAGGGCTGAGACAGAATGGCCGGCCCAAAGACACACAATTGCATTCCATGCCTCAGGCAGGACTAGAACTCAGGTTTCCCTGCTCCTAGTTCATTACCTTAAATGTCCTCAATCCTGGCAGTTGAAATCCACACATCTCCAAGTTTGAAAAAACACTGCATTACACCAATTTGGTTCCCTAAATGGGCAGGTGGGGGGGAGGGAACGGGAAAGAAAGGGAGAAAGGGGAGCGAAGAGGAGAAGGGGAAGGGGGAGAGAGGAGAGGAGAAGAGAA